GGTCTGAGGCTTGATCGTGGTCGCTGGATACCAACGAAACGCCAACAACTGATCCCGCCGATGCACCTTCTCCTTTGTGCAACCGCAGTAGGCCACGCGCACTTGATGAATACCGTTAGTATGCATAACCACGAACTTGTCGTATACGTGTCTCTTGAGGTGGCAACGGTCTCCCGCCCAGTGCCCGAGTTGGACTGTGAGACCCAGCTGGCGCAGGGAAACGGGCACCCATTCGTCGCGTATGTGTACCTACGAAGACGTCTCAGTCTTCATTCAGATCCACCCTAAGTTTGGGTATTTACCTCCACGCGGTCCAGCGGACGATTCCAATGTTCCTTGACAATACAGCCCTTGCAGACCCATTCGCAAGACGCACAACCTGAGACGCATCGATAGAGTACCGTAGCTGCCTTTCCTCGAGGGCATCCTGGTCTCACGCAGCCGGAAACCGCGCCAGAGAGTACATCGGGCGGGCGCCCGTCCAGCTTCAGCAAAGCCCAGAGATACTGCATGCGTTTGGGGATCCATTCGAGTAAGGGGTGATTCTGAGGAAGGACGTTCATCAGCCGCGCGCTCGCCGTTTAACTTGCAGACACTTACACTAATTGACAACTCTGCCGTCGGTGTACCCCCCACATTAGCGTCGACTGGAGGTGGTGGTGGTGATGCACGTCCATCGCTCTCCTGATCGTTGGGCCCCTCGGGTGCAGGTGCTGGTTGGAAAGCATTGGCCTTCACCGTACGTTCGAGGATACCGAGGCTGACTTGTGGGACGCGGAGATTGAACGCATGCGTAAGGGTATTGCCATTGACGTCCGTAGAGATATTACGCGCAACCGAACGTAGGAACTGGCGGTCTTCGTGGTAGCCTAAAGTCGCTCCTGCTCGACGCGCTCTCTTCTGCGGCAAGCCAGGTGGCTTCCCGCTGCCGCCCGGTTGTTTGGACATGAGAAGCGACCAGGCGCCACTGCGCAGCCGGGGTGGCCGAAGGGTGGACGCGATGCACGACAACGTGAGATAGCGAGCCGGCGTCTTCTGTGGTAAGGAGTGGAGGAAAACAAGCAACAGCGGGTTTTTTTCTGGAACATCGCGCCATCAGCACCGCGCACGTCATCCAATCATGCTCTGCACGACACCCTGCTGAGTCCTCGCCAGCCTAACGCGCGCCATTCAACAATGCGGGCACCGTATTCAACACATCAGTAGTTTGCCAGCACTTCGTTCAGACCCCATTAACACCAAGACCGCTCACGAAGACCGAGTGCACAGAGCCGCCGTTCTAGTCAACAACGAGATATATGGTACGCATGAGATCACATATACATTCACGAATAACGAGGAGATGGGAGTCGGTTCAAACCAGAAGTTCTGCACACGCTCTTTATAATGAACCCAGGCTCATCGGTCCGAACACATCTCCCACACACACGCGCGCGACGCCCGACCTTTGCCACTCATCATCGCGCCCGCGCCCGCGCCCGCCCTACGTATAGAGATTGCGGACGTTGGGCCTCTTGACCAGCCTATGTGCACCCTCGCCGTTAATCCAGTACTCCATCTCCGCCTGAGCGCGTGCGCGCACGCGCTGACGAGCCGCATGCTCCGACGTAATCGTCCTGTGACCGTCGTAGACCACGGAGTGAGCTTCTTTCATAGCCGCGTTCGTACGGCTGGCGAGTTGGACGCTCGCACGGCCGCCGTCAAAGAGGCTCGCGTGGGCATCGAAGAGACCGTCGCTGCGATCCAGGTTGACAAGGTCGTCGCAGCGGTCCACGACGAAGCGGTGGTAGCTATTGCGCGCCTTGCGCGCCTCATCCCGGTCGACGTCGTCGAGATACCGTATGAGCTCACTGGCCCACGCGCGGGCTTCTGCCGCCAGGGCGCGTTGAGTCTCCAGGCGCCGGTGTTCCTCGTGATAGCGGATTTCCCAACCGCCTGCCGCCGTACTGGTAAGATGGTGTTGGATGCGCACAGGCTCCCAGTGGTATTGTATCTGATCATATCATCAACGTCGGCACGCCTGAACGATGGTATGTACGCACCCGCCCGTCGACGTCTTGTCCGTGTAAAATGTGCCGAAAGCCACGGCCTTGGAGATGCGTGTTCTCGTAGTGCGACAGCGCGACTATGTCGATGACCTCGCGCACGAAAGCTGGAAGGACGACGTGCCGACCCTCCACCACCGCCACAAATGGCTCTCGGATACCGACCGTAGCAACATCGACGACCTCGTGCTGGGCAGGCGTCAAGTCCTCCAGCAGGATGGTGTACACGCAGTCGTGCTTGGGACAGACCCACGTCTGACTCTGGGCGACGTAATAATCAGACGGCCTGCGAGCGAAACGCCCGCAAACCCTAGCAATGGTCTGGTCGACGACGGAAGCTGTCTTCGGGACACGCACGGCACGCGGGATATGCGCGTCGAGGTTCACGAAGGGATGGTTAATGCGCGCCTCGACGAGTATACGTGGGGGCGCAGCGTTGCTCTTGTTGCGCCACATACCCTCGGGTGGTGCCAGGGGATTGGGCTCCCGTGCGAAATGGCGTAGAACGAGGTTTCCCTGTGCGTATCGGTGAGATAGTGTTCTCGAAGCAGTCACTGATTGGACTGACCACCTTCGCCCAGGTATGGGGGTCGTCGGCGGCGAGTGTCGGACCCGCAGGAGCCGGAGCGTTCATATCGACGTCGTCTGGTGCAGCCATGAGCGTCGGGAGGGAAGGGGAGACGTTGGGAGGGACGGGGAGATCGGCATAAAACTGACTCCCTCGGATGAGGCCGATTCCGAATCTGAGCGGTGCTAGCGGTGCCTTATGTCTCAAGCGTTACGCCATTAGACTTGACATGCAATGCCATATTCAGTCCAATTTTTCTACTACATGCCAGCACAAATATTCTGTATATACGACGACTTCAAGGGCCTAGGTACTCGCTCGCCCATTCCTCTTTGCGCGTCTCCCACTCGCGCCGAACGGCGCGATGGGCATCGCGCGATTCCTGCCATTGGACGCGCTCAGGGTCCTCTTGTTCCGCGTCCATAAGATCCACCACAGCTAGCCCCGTATCGACGATGCTACGACCCGCCTCGAACATCTGGCGAACCAGCGCCTCCCGCGCGGACACAGCCTCCCGCCGCCAACGCGTCAAGTGATAGCGGGCTGCGTGAATACCTTGCTTCGCCACACGTAACATCTTCTTCGCCTTCCACATACGAAGTTGATATTGGCCGGTGCGCTCGAGAGCTTCTATCTCCAATCGCAGAGGCCTATACACCTGACGGTGACGGAGGCGGTTTTCATCCCACCACATGGCGGGCTTAGACTGAGATGCGCGTGAGTAAAACGACAGTTTGTAGGATCGCCGGACTCACGTTGTACGCAGTAACGGGACTGGGGAACCAAAATACAATGCATTCCTGGCGCAGATGCGACGCGAAATGGTCCCATGCCAGGCAGTCCACCAGCCGCATATACTGCCAAGGGTTCATACGGTCCAGTTCCACGCGACCGTCGTCGCGCTCCACAACACCGCAGTCATCTCCTACGCCCAGGTACTCGCCGATGAGTGCCCTTTCATCGACGTTCAGATCCAGAGGATCTATGCCCCTCCCACACTGCGGGCACACCCATACCCCCATCTCCGGAAGGCCATCCGAAGGACGGGAGCAAACGTCTGCCACCGTCGGGAGCGCGGATCGTACAGCGGCCTCGATGCGCTCATCGGGAAAGGCCTGTGGGCGGTCAAGAATATACCCCGGGACGTGGGCATCCGGCGCACTCATAGAGAGTGAGGAGGGAGGGCTTTGTGGGAGGTACGGGCTCGAGGCGCTAGTATAGTCCGTCCAGTCCGCGGAGTGTTGATCCAGCGCGGCCAAAATGTAGTGCGACATCTACGACAAGTCAGCAAAATACACGCAACATGTATCCTGTCGCGACGCACCGCAAAGTTTCGATAGTTCACAGACTCTGTAGCGTGCCCGTTAATGGCGCCGTTGACTGGGGATGAGACAGGCAGTCCCCGCAGCACCCGAACAAAATCCTCGGGCGCATATCCAGGCAGGGATTGAGCGACGGGCGGCATGACTAGAGTTCGCGATCAAGAAGATTAGAGTACATCTCAACCGCGACAGAGACGCCTTATATCATAAAGTCGAGCGGCACAGCGGCACAGTTGCTTCCGCGAGCTAAAGAGAGGTGTCCGCGTGCGGCCGCCCATGATGAGCGTTACTGCCAACGCGCGTGGGAGTACCGCGCCTGGCACAAAATCCCAGCGTTCAGGTCCCCACAGTCTGACTCGTACCGCCAACCTCCCTTTATGCACAACGAAGACGTTCTTTAGCAGCTATGTTTTCGTGTGCCCAACCCTGCTAGGGAGTTACACCTTGCTGCGCGCGCGCCACAATTAGGGCACAATCGCCATCGGATCTGGGCCTGCGTGTGCCTCGTGTTCTGCATATCGACCCGAGTCGTCGGCCATGCTTAGCGCACTGAGCGAGGAAAGTGCTACGTTGCTTAAGTACCTGTCCTGTGTGATCATGATAATTCCAAGACATGGTAATGCGTAATGAGCAGCATCGTGCTGCAGTATACACACGCTCAATGCTGACCGCGTCTCGCAAGCTACGCGCCGTTGGCCACCCGATTCGGGGGCCCTTACGTTCCGATAGACAATGTCTTTGGTCCCTGATCGACATGTTCCACTAGACTCGTCACCTTTGACCAGGTACCGCATACGCTGTCGGTATCGCGAGCGGCCCATCTCATCCAGAACCACCGTCGACTACGCCAGGAACTCCCGAACAATGGCTGATTTCATTAATGAAGATCTAGTCGTAGACGTAGACGCTTGGGACGCAGTTGACGATGATGCTGCTAACGATGTTACGACGGATGACAGCGATCATGGTGCAGCCAGTGATACTCGGTGGGATACTTACACGCAATAGTCATCTACTATAACATTCTTATGCGTCGGCGCGACAGGGAGCAGTATTGGGATACAGATTCCGGTCGCTCAGACGAGATAACTTGGGGTTCGCCTCCAATCGACCCTCACGTATCCGCTCGCGCTGGAGCCCCATACGAAGACGAGGATTTCGGGTGGCGTCCGAGATCTTCAGGATGGCCGCGTAATTCTGTTCGCGGTGCTCATCTGTATCCTGCTCATGCGAGTTCACTAGATGTGAGAGAAGACGAGAATCCATGGGCAGAATCCGCCACGCAGACGCCGGAGCCGTCAGCGATAGAAGAGGGCTTAGATCCTGAAGGTATATGCTTTTGTCGATTAGCTTGAGACTCCTTCTCACGCGCTCGAAAGATACATTGATTAATACGGCGCAAACCGTCACCACTCCTGCGCCATCTGAAGGTATGTAGCCTGACTTGATGTCTGAATTGGCGAGCTAACAAACGCGCGCATACAAGGCGTGAACGGCTCGAGAAATCGTCTACCTGCTGATAATCTCGACGTGTTCGCGTACGTCCTGGGCTGTCTGGTACCTCGGATCAGCGAGACTCCCGTAGACGGATACTTTCGTCCAGGAGAACCTGGTCACGATGCTCTGATGTCTATCAAGTCGGTGTTGCATTCGTGTCGGCTGTGGCGTTATACCACGCTGCAGTTGAAGGCGACTGTCTGGGGGCCTCTGGTTGCCGCCGCTCGTGATGAAACCAGTTGGCAGGCTGCGCTCGAGAAGGCCGGTGACGCGAACATACGTATTGTTTACTGCACGGGTGTGCCCCACGAGTTATGTGACGCTGAGCTTCATCGTGCGTCAGCCGTCTACGCGGGCAGGGATTTAGATTGGCGTAACTTCGGGCCTCTTCTGGTAAATGCCGACCTGAAGAACTTGGAAGTCCTCTACCTGTGTCCCAACAGGCGGCTCATGCCTAAGTCGGGCTTACGCATGTACGGGCCACTCGATGCGCCAGCTATGCGTATCTGCGTCACTGCCACGCCGTTCCTCCTCCGGACTCCCAAATTGCGGTATCTCGGTCTCCAACACCAGTCGCGCACTCAAGTGCTCAGCGTACTATCTGGGGTTAGAGATATCCCTCTGGTGTGGCTCGCTATCGACAGACCGCGAGAGTCCGGTGTGATCGACGCCTCTGAGATTGTGCAGGCCATTACGACGGAGCAGCTCAGGTTCTTACGCATTGCTGCATCGACGCGTCAGTTCCCCATTCTGGACACTAGCGTCGAGCCCACTCCTTGTCCATCGCTCGAGGTCGCGGATGTCAGCGGCCCGTCATGGCTGGCAGCACCCCGCCTGGATATCGCACAGGTGTTCGGAGCACATCCAGGAGAGGTACTTTCCATGCTCAGCCGAGCTATGAACGTACGGGTTCTGCGCACCAAATGGCGCAATCCCTGGAGTCGCGACTTCACGCCGGCACTCGAGGTGCCATTTGACGCATCATCCCCTGTGAAGTTGCTGCGTCTCGAGAAGCTGGAGGTCGCTGGGATCATGACCAGAGAGACGCAGCAGTTTCTGGCAGGGCTGTCGGCGCCGAATCTGGCGGAGATGCTGATGTTCTGCGAAATGCCGCCCCCGCCTGTACACAACGTCTTGGTATCGTCACGAGAGGCCCTCCACGCGGAACTGCAGAGCTTAGACAACGCGCTAAGCACGCGAGATGACCTGGCGCACCTACTTATCAATACGAGGAACAACCTGCGGGCCGCTGGACACGATGGAGTTGCCCAGGTCATGACGAGAACGCCCAACTTTCCTCAAGCCTGGACACCCGCTGAGTGGCCGAACGTTGCGGAGCTACGTGCCATGACGAGGGACTCTCTGGACGGTCTGGCGGCCGCCATAGAAGCTCCTGCCGCTCGCCACAACGGCTATTTGCTGCGAGAGGTTGTCCGAGCTGCTATGCTTGCAACGGCTTTGTCGGCAGACGATGTTGCAGTGATGAAGCTCAAGTCGAATCGGGACGCAGCGGAGTTCGTGTTGTCGTATCGCGATGGCGCCCGCACGATGACATTCGCCATGGCTGGCTCGCGGGCCAGCCAGTGGGGCACATCCTGGGAGACTATGGGCGACTCAATACTGTATGCCCTGGCTCGTATGCTATTCGGGCTTTCGGTAGCGCAGACGGCGGAGCTACACGTCGTCGGCGAACCATTTGCACATCTGTGGCCACCCAACGGGCCAGACGTGGACGCGCTACTGGAGTCGCTACGGGAGTATGCCATGGTTCACACACTTCGTGTGGACTACGGATATACTTACATGTCTGCGAATTCATGCCAGTTCCTGCGAGTGATTCGCGACGCCACGGTGCTCCCGTCTCTGCGTTCGGTAGTGGTGCGGTGTGCCCCGAAATGGTTGGATCGCGGTCGAACAAGTCAGGTAGACGCTCGGGTCACAGCCATCATGGGCGCACTGAAAGAAGTGCTCGAGAGTCGCATGGCTAGGGCAGGACCGCTGATGACGCTGGAGCTGGAGGGGGCTTGCTGCATTCCCGCAGTGGACGTGAAGACGCTGAAGGGTTGGGTAACCTCCGTGATTCTATCGACGGTGTGTATTCGAGCAGAGGACGGACAGTGGTGTCCCGTATGTAGCGAGGCGAAATAATGTACATGGTCGGGTCGAACAACAACATGCAGGCTGGGCAGGCTCAACAATGGGAGTAAGCGCTTAGACGTGGGACTCCATCAACGTGCTACACGAGGCTCTGATGACACGTTGGGAATAGAAGTTGTCTTCAGACGCCATTGTCACTATGCGCAAGGCTGAACGTGTATGCCCAAAACCGCCCGTTTCGGTACGCTTGACGGGTCCTTCACCCTTTCTCGGCTTCTTCGCCCGTTCTGCGTATTCTCCGTCAACGCTTCAGCTATATGCACACTCATTCTGTCACCACAAGCTGAGTTAGCCGCGAACGCCGTCCACGTACAGACAATATGTCCGCCAGTAAACCGCTCCAGCACTTGGCTTCAACGGCCAACCCATGGAAGGAGCTGTGGCGACGCGTTACTGAACTGTGGCGACGCATTTGACCCGACACGGCCAGCCCTCTTTTTGGTTCCGTTCGGCTGCGTTGGACCCGGCTTGTCTGGACACTCTGGGAGAGCCAATACTGCTACCTCAGCGCAATGCCTACACCGCTCATTCGTCTGTATACGTGCCATTGATCTGCGCATGTGCGCAAGATATTAGCGAAGGGGAGAGGTATGAACTTGCGCGGATGGCGAGGCGGCGGAGCGATCGAGTGAGTTAGGAACACGATTGCACGCGCTGTAACTCATGCGGGTCGGGCCCTACCCTATCTTACAGATGATCCCCTTTGCACCAGCCGTCCCGAGCGTCGGAATGCCCATATGCCGTGTCCTCTTTTTACTTGGAGTGCGCGTCCCGATTTCGACCCCCACCTCGCCGTATTCTGCGTCCATTCTAGCTTTCGCCATGGCTCCATCTGCTGCTACCGAGACGAAACAGGGAAAGGCGCTTAGCGGAAAGCGCACGACATTCCTTAAACAGTACTACAGCATAGTGGGCGAATCTGGCGTTCAGAATCAGACCGTGAATGGCGACCGCTCGGACGCGTATCACAATATCGCGCGTGCTTTAGTGCTATGCTTCGGCGTTGACGATCCTCTCAGCAATGACGACCCCGATCTGGATTACTGGGATTTGCCTTATGCCTCTATACCCGCTGCAAACGCTATGCCAGCCCTCGACGAAGAGCAGTCGAAGAAGCGCGACATGGTCATCGAAGGTTTAGTTCAGGTGCGTGCCTTTCTAAATTGCCGAGTATCGGACAACGGCTCATTCTCGCACAGCGGGTTCGTAACTATTATAAGGGCCTGCGTCACAAGGCGAAGAATACTGGCGGCAAGGCTAGTCTCGAGATGAAGCATATTGAGCGCATCACCGCTGCTTTCGCCGATCCTCCCAAGATGCCGAAGGCTCTCGACGTCTACCAGGCGGACTTCAAGTCTCACTATCTTCCCAGTTTCGACCTGATGTGGCGTGCGAAGGAGAGCGAAGCTGCGGGTGACGCGACTCAACTCGAGCGGCTCAAGAACACCAGGGGCGGACAGGAGAGGATTCACGCGAAGATGAGGTGGGAGCAGGAGGGCGCAGAAGTTCGTCAGAAGGTACAGGCTGCGCGCGAGAAGAAATTCAAGGCGGCGCTGGCCAAGTACAATGCGCTCTGGGGTGCGCCAGCATTTGCGTTAAAGAACTCTCGCGCATGGTCAGTAGCTAATCTGTTATGCAATGGAGCTGAAGCTAAGCAGCCGCGCGCAGGGTCATGCCGGAGGCGGGCGCGTTTCTGCGCGTGTTTCTGGAATGGATGGCGTCACGCTTCGGGGTCGCTCTGGCACTCACGATCGCAGGACAGGGTGACAAAGGCGAACCCGATGCTCGGACGTGAGTGAACCGATTGCGCCCATCTTCCTGCATACACTGACGGCTACTTGACTTCCAGCATCTTCGCCGCTGGTGACACGAAGGACGGTTCTCCGACTCTGGACGAGTATGCGGCGGACGCTACGGACGCTACGAAAGTCAGGCTCATGCAATACGTGACCAAGATGATGACTGGGTTGGTGGCGACCGGACCGTCGGTTAACGTGTCAGAGGACGAGACGGAGGAGCCCGAAGAAAGCGGGGGTCAGCGGGTAGACGCGGATGCGGCCGCGCACGCCCTTCAATTCAAAGAGGTCAGTCCGCTACGCTGGGCGTGGCGCATTCACACTTATGCCATCTACAGGAATTAGCCAATGAACCAATGACCCTCGTCGACGAAGCGGGCGCTTCAAAGTGGGCAATCGATGACACGGTACGTGTTGTGATGATAACGGAGGACGCTCGTTTAATCATTTATTAGCTCTTATTCGGTCCTGAGGGTCCATATGGACGTTCGGCTGACCGTGATCCGATGCACGTGGATGACGCTCGGAGCGCTCGCGCGGCCGGGGCGGACGTACAGTTTAATGGTCACGACGGCACTGGCGGTTCTTCGAGGATGACCGAGACAGCGCGTGCAAGCAAGGGCAAGGAAAAGGCGACCGACATAACGATCACGGACGATAGTGACGAGGACTTCGGCGGCGAGCTTCAGGCGTTGGACGGCAACTTCGAGGAGGACGCTGTGGTGGATCCGGAAATAGAAAAACTGCGGGACGCGTTCAGCAACAACGACGTGGGTCTCAATATGGCGATGGCAACTGCCAGCAACTACATCCAGAAGGTTTCAAACACGCGAGCGTCTTCACCGGCTACGTCGGCTTCTGTGCGATCCGACTATGACGACGGCGCCCGGTCATTGGCCTCCGGTATCGACGACGAGGATCTTCCAAACTATGATCCGTATTCCCTGGTCGACGAAGACAACGACGAAGCGGACATCGACGCGTTCCTCACCGCCACATACGTGGATCGCCGGAAGAAGAAGAAGAGAGAAAGTTCACCTCGCACGATCTTGTTGGGCGGAGTCTCCCGCACGCACAGTGGGCAGAGCCGTAAGAGGGAGCCCAAGCTTCCAGCGGAAGACGTAGAGGGAAGGAAGGAGGGTGAGAAGAGCGACGAGGACAGCGCGACTGGGTCGGGCGAGAGGGGAAAGAAGACGGCTCGCACGGCGCGGATGCCAGCGCCGACCAAAGCGTCAAAGGTGGTCTCGATTGCTAAAAAGGCGGCGGTGCGATCCATATCCGAGGCTCAATCCGTTCCCGATGCTCAGGGCGCCCAACGTCAAGTGGGGGTTCATACGGCGAACGCAGAGGAATCGTCTGCGCCGAAACCTAAGCCCAAGCCTCGCATGAAGAGGAGGTTGCGGGTGACATCGCCTGAGCTCGGAGAGGATGGGCTCGTCGCACCGCAGACGACGGTGACGACAGGAGAGGGGATAGTGGCAGAGGATATCGGCATGACGGATGCAGGCAGCTCGGCGGCGCGAGGCTTGCTGGATGACAGGGCGGCGGATTTGAACGCAGATGATGTTGACGTAAGCTAAGATCCCGTTGATTCAGCGTTTACCTGACTTACGCATATATAGAAATGGATCAACAAGCATACGGATCCGCAGGCGAAGGCCGAAGGGGAGGTGGCGTGGAAGACATACATCGGAACGAACGGCCCTGCTTCGAAGCGTCGCGCACTTTGCGAGCTGGTCAGGCTCGTCCCGTCGAATCTCCGCGGGTGCTATACAAACATGGTGGACGCGATGGAAGGCCTACTGCGTATGGACGAACTCTGGGTGAGTATCAATACTGTTGTATGGTGATCGCTGTTGTACTCAACGGCGCTGTAGGACGGCGGGAAAGGCGGCCATTTGGACAAGACGAAACGTCCGAAGGAGGTCACGACCATGATCAGCGGCCGCGGCACCATGCTTAGTACGCCAGTACCAGACGGCTGGGGTGCGCAGATGGCCGCGTGGTGGATCTCTTTGCAACCGAGCGAACGTGGAAATGTTACGGATATCAGGGAGTTGTCTGCGCCCACGGCGGATATGGTCTGGGACGCGGTTGGTGAGTGTAAGGGATACAAGGGGGCATTCTTGCTGGTCTGGAGCATGATGCATTGGGCGAAGACGCAGAACGATCTCGAATTGTGGCGGGCCGTCGCAGAAGATATGACGCGCGTCTTCAGGATTATCCAGGCTTCCAGGGCTGCCGGTGATGGCCGGTCTCCGGTTCCCGACATGGCGCGGGGCAATGGGGCGAAGAGGCCGGGCGCTGGTAGTGTCGGAGAAGAGGCGCGTCCGAAGAAGCTGCGAAGGGACGAGGGAGCAACCGGTAAGCTTCCAATATCCCCGCCCGTCTACGTGCATCGCAGCGCTGACTGGGAGGCAACACAGGGGCGCGTGATATCGGGGCAAGAGAGCGCGGCCAAAGTAGGCGTGGCGTTTAGTAGGCGAAGCGCTTCTATTCGTTCAGGCAAAAAAATGGGCATATGATATATGTTGTAGTAAAGCAGACTGTTCAAAACACTATAAGACATTGAGTAATCTACGCAGAGTGAGAGGCGTCGTCCGGGTCGACAATGCGCTCGGGAAGTTTAGCTGCTTCGAGTCAGTATTAAATCTCCGTGTTATTGAACGGATATATCGGACTTACCGGCGTCCTGATACGCATGCTCGTAGACGGCCTCTATGGAGGGATGAAATTTGTTTACGCGGGTTCCAGATATAACGATGGCGGGCATGGTTCGCGGTATGGCTAAGTCGCGGACGTGGAATTTCGACCACATCTCGAAACCCGGAGCGCCGAACGTAAGAATGTCAATCGTATCCGACTGTTTCAGTTCGTAGTCAAGGAGTTGGCGCTCGTGATGGCGCATCAAGAACTGGTTGATAGATGCGCGAGCGGGAAGTTCGATAATCTTGGGCAAGGTTTCGTCCTGGTATGATCGTTAGAACGCAGAGTAGGTAAGCATTCGAGTGACATACCTCGAAGAAGTAGTAGACGACCAGCATATCCCGGAGTAAAGGAGCGGGGACGAAGCGTGTAATCTCGACGCTGGGCGAGCGTGTACCATCAGAAAGATCGGTGAGATCGATAACGCCGGCTGGCGGAGCAGGATTGATAGTCAAGTTGCCGGCCTAATGGGTGCTTAATGATAGGACAGTACAAGCGCACACAGACGCACCTGGGTAACATCGATATGGAACTCGCGTCCTCTGGCGGGCGAGGAGAGCGTCACACCGTGGTTAGCTGCCCAATCACGAACTGCACTCCGCTGGACGGACGTGAGAGGGGGGGAGATGTATCGGAAGGTGGGGCGAGGGCGACCACGAGCGCGGGGGTGGTCGACGTGACACTACGATGCTGTTAGGCATCCTAGTAACCGTTTAAACGCGTGGAGACGTACCAGAACGTACCACTGTCCCAGATGAAAGTCGTCCTTTTTAAACTGAAGGTAAGGCCCGAAGAGATCGTGACCCCAACAATCCTGGACGCTGCGATCATACTTTTCCTCCGAATACGGACGCGACAATCCGTCTACGAAGGAACGGAGAGCGGCTAAAACAGCAGCTTTAGTGGGCATGAGGGAGAGACGTTCGCTGCGCGCAGGCCTAACATCTCGCGGGCATGGTTAAGTATAGCCGCTATCGGTAGCGGTCGTGCGGGCCAAGGCAGAGAAAATGAAGATCAAAAGTCTTCTAGACAGCCGGGAGGGGCAGAATATTCGAGAGCGCCGACTTTTTGCTTCCGCGCGGAGCGCGTTCGTACCGGTAATCATAACGGGTGCACACAGAGTGGATAGACGAATAGCAGACGAATAGCAAATGCGAGTACATTGACATAACACTTTGCTACAGGGCTGACGGAGAACGCAGATGGCTGTGGATGAACAATGTGAGTAGACGCGAGGAGGAAGAATGTTCGCACTGACCAAGATGCGCACGACAACTACTTAGCAGATGGCCCGACGTCGGAGTTGCGGTCCGACTTCGCGGCAGCGCGCTGCGCGGCTTTGAGCTCCGCGGCTTTTCGATTGCGTTCCTCCTCAAGATCGTACGCAAGATTGACGGCGCGAAAGACGACAGGCGCAGTCGCCGGGTTGCCTACCCAGTCGCCGTCTTCGTCCAGCTGCCACCTGACGCCGGGGTCATCATCCATCCAACTACAGGGAGATGTCAGGCGTAGTTCAAAGAGTTAGTTAGAATGAAGGACGTACTCCCAGACGTACTCGGCCGAGTCGCGAAGGAAGTCGATTCTCTTGCCGCTGAGACCCTTCTTGGCGGCCAGGTAGTACAGGGTGAGCGCAACAGCCTCACCGGAGACACCGAAAGGGTCATGCGTGTATCGCCTATACTGAGTCCAGTGGACATCAGAGGGCGTGGCAGACGAACGCAGGCCGGATTCATCGCGAAGGCGGCGAACAGCGTCAGGTCCAGTGAAGAGCTCCCTACAGGCGCTCGCAAGCTCTACGTCACCCGCTAGGTAGTCTGCGTGCAGACTGGTGATTGGGAAGTCCTTTTGGCGTTGGACCTCGAGTTCGTAGATAGTGGGCAGCTGGTCAACTCGGCTCTTACGAGACATGGCGGTGCGGCGTGAAGGGAGCGGGACGCGATAAAGTTGGACGATTGACAGGCAAAGTGCCTGGGCAAGTGCGGTGCCGAGAGCAGGGGCGATGGAAAAGAGGGCGACGGCGCGAGGTCTACTTCCGGGATCGCGCGCAGCCGAAAAGAGCGTCCCGTCTTGTCTTCGTGCCACTACCATGGATAACGAAAGCGCGCAAAACGACATAGCACTGGCTCCTGGTGAATGGTGAGTACCGGCGGGTAGTACGACGAGTGGGCTTTGCTTACTTCGCTATAGGAAGGAGATGATGGAGTTCCTGGGGAAGGAGGGGATACCGGCTCTGAAGCGTAGGTTTGGAGCAGTCCCGCAGGAAAGTACGAGCGAGGGCCATGACGCACAGGTGCGTATGTGTTTATTGCGGTCGACTTGGCGCTGACGAGCGCAGGATTGCTCGCGCTTCCCGGCTCGCGTTAGCGGGGATCCGTCGTCTGCAACCCCCGCGTGCGAAGGATGCCGTTGGGCTGTCGAAGGTGAGTCCGCTCGTCAAATGAGATAGATACAAATACTGATAAACTGTGATATAGACCTTAAATGGCGACACGAGGTCGCGTGGGGGGCAATGGGCGACGAGGCGACGCAACTTGTGGCCGAGGCTCTGGCTAGCGACGAGGCCTTCAAGCTTAAGCGGCGTACCACGTCCGGGCAAATGGCGTCGGCGGATATGGTGGCATGGGAGAAGAAGAAGGGTGAGCTGGAGGCAGCGCGCCAGATGGCGCTTGACGCCGCGCGCCCTGGCAAGACTTGTCCACCGTACGTTAGCATCTTCTTGGGCGGATGCGGGTTTTCACTCATTCTATTCAGCCATACGTGTTCTATGGGTCAAGCCTTGGGAGGAAATAGTGAGAGTGAGGATGACGCGTACGAGAGCGACGTTCCGCCGCTCGTGCCGTTCTCGGACGAATAGTCGGTGGGGATGCGGGTGGTGCACACGGGCCGCGATGTATGAATTCATGTAGTTACGAATACATATATTGCGATTTATACAGTTGTGTGCCTCTTGAGAGTACGGTTCGAGTGGTGGTGAAATAGGGGACGGCGCTGGGGAGCGGGACGGGGGACGGGACGGATGGCGGCTGGCACGGTTACGGCGATGAAGCGGAATTCGTGGTGGATGAGGGGGGAACGGTGCCTGCGGGAAATCTGTAGGGTTAGGGGTTTGGCGAATCGAGAATAAAGAAATAAAGGGAAAACGAGTTTCGAGGTTATCATGTCATGTAGAGGGCGGACGGGGGAATATGGATGTGTACACCTACTAAATATACATGGCAGAGTAGTCTAGTGGTCAAGAACGAAGAAAATGTGGCCGAGGTGCAGAGTTCAAATCTGGCCCGTGTCAATCTTTTGCTCCCTGGATTTTTTTTCTTTGGGTCTGGCCCGAGAGGGGGTTGCAACTCTGAAAGAGGGGTTGAAACCCACTGACCCCACTTGAGGCTAGGGGTTGCAACCTGTGGGCTACGGGTAGTGGCTTTCTGCCCGTCTCGACCTGTGTGACTCTGCCTTCGTACCCGCCGGCGTCGCGAACGTATGCGCTTCTCTCTCCCTTCGACG